CCCCCCCCCACCCAAAACCTTTTAACTCCTCCCCCATCCCTTAAAAAAAAATAATATTTCCCCCCCCCTCAAAAATATGCAAATTTTGCCCCTCCCCCGCCCACAAACCCCGCCCACGAGCCCCTCGCCCACCCCGGGGTGCTCCCCTCCCCCAGCCCCAAAACTGCCCCAAAGTGGCCCAAAAATGGCCCAAAATGGGTGAGAATGGCTGAAATGGCCCCAAAATTGCCCAAAATGGCTGAAACGGCCCAAAACGGCCCAAACTGGCCCCAAAACCGAGCAGGAGGGGGCGGGGCCCGGCCCCTCCCTTGCCCCTCCCCCTCCCCCGGTATTTTCAGGGGTTTGAGGGGTTTTGGTAATTTTTAATTTTTTTTTTTTTAATTTTTTATTTTGAAGGTTTTTTATTTTTTAAAGGCTTTCCCCGGATATTTTTTTAATTTTTTTTTTTAATTTTTTTTTAAATTTTTTTAATATTTTTCCTGGCCTCTCTCTCGGCCCAGCCCCGCCCCCTTTAGCGCCGAAGCCACGCCCCCTTTCCTTTGGCCACGCCCCCTCCCTTGACCACGCCCCTTTCCGTGGCCACGCCCCTTTCCTTTGGCCACGCCCCCTCCCTTGGCCCCGCCCCCTTCGCCGCCGCCGACCCACGGACGCCCCTCCCCCACGGTAAGAGGCGTGGCTTTGTTCATATGCAAATTAGCGCTTAATGAGGCCCCGGCCGATCAAACAGGGGGCCCCTCCTTAGGCACCTGTGCTAATTGGAAATTTTAATTAGGCGTTTTAAGTAATGAGTGGGTGTTGCAGTGCTCATTAGCATAATTCATGCAGTGCTGGTTAGGGTAATTAATCTCTCGTTAGGGACTTGGCGCTAATTAGGAATGTTTATTAGGCATTGTTTGGTGTTAGAGTGCTCATTAGCATAATGAATTCATTAGCTGAGGTCAAAGGACAGCAGCAACAGTGCTAATTAGAGCTCCTGGTTTTATGCTAATGACACCCCTAATTAACAAGCAGGGTGTTTAGTTAATGTTCATTAACGAGGGTTGATATTCATTAATGAGATTAATATTCATAGGGAATATTAATTAGCAATTCTGAGGGTGTGATCGTTAGCGAGGTTGGATAATTACCGTAATTATTGAGGACTATTACCGTAATTATTGAGGGCTGGGTAATTACCATAATTAACAACGTCTGGATAATTATGGTAATTAACGGGGGCTGGGTAATTAGCATAAATAACGATGGGTGGGTATTTACTGTAATTATTGAGGGCTAGATAATAACTGTAATTAAGGAGGGGCGGGACTAATGAACAGCACTCATTAACACATCACATTAATGAAGGTGATTGGGGTCAAGGGCTGGGCCTTAGGTGCTATTTATGCTAATTAGATGCTAATTGGGGCTGCTGAGGGTGGCCATTGGGCTCTGTTAATGCTAACTAGGTGATAATTCAAGGTGGCCATTAGGTGCTGTTTATGCTAATTATATACTAATTATAAACTAATTGGGGATGTAATGTGCTGATTATGCTAACTAGATGCTAATTTAGGACTTCAGGGGTTGGCCTTGGGTGCTGGTTATGCTAATTAGATGCTAATTAGAGGTGATGGGTTGGGCCTTATGTGCCATTTATGCTAATTAGATGCTAATTGGGGGTGATGGTTTGCTGTGATGTGTCATTTATGCAAATTAGATGCTAATTAGGGCTCCGATAAGGAACCAGGGGGGTCCCAGGGGGTTCTGGAACCTTCTGGGGGTTCCCACGGGGATTGGGGCGTTTTGGGCGGTTTTGGGCATTTTTGGAGGTTTTTGGTTGGTTTTGATGTTTTTTGGGTGGTTTTGGGCATTTTTGGAGGTTTTTGGGTGGTTTTGGTGTTTTTTGGGTGGTTTGTTTGTGGTTTTTTGAGGGGTTTTGGGTGTTTTTTGGAGGTTTTCAGAAGTTTTGGGGAGTTTCTTGGAGGCTTTTGGGTGGTTTTTTAGGTGGATTTTGGAGGTTTTTGGGTGTTTCTTGGTGGTTTTTGGAGGTTTTTGGTTGTTTTGTGGGGTGGATTTGGAGGTTTTTAGGGCGTTTTTTTGGATATTTTTGGGTGGTTCCATGTGGGGTTTTTCATGTTTTTGGGTGGATTTTGGAGTCTTTTGGGTGGATTTTGGAGGTTTGTGGGCGTTTCTTGGTGGTTTTTGGAGTTTTTTGGGTTGGTTTTGAGTGGTTTTTTGGATATTTTTGGGTGGGTTTTGGATGTTTTTTTGGGTGGTTCCATGTGGATTTTTTTTATTTTTTGGGGCGGATTTTGGTGGTTTTTGGAATTTTTGGGTGGTTTTTGGAGGTTTTTGGGTGGTTCTGGGGTGTTTTTTGGGTGGTTTTAGTGTGATTTTGGGAAATTTTTGGCCACCCCCACCGTGACACTGACCACACCCACAATGACCACACCCACAATGACCACACCCACTGACCACATTGACCACGCCCACTGACCACACCCATTGGCCACACTGACCACGCCCACTGACCACATTGACCACGCCCACACAATGACCATGCCCAAAGTGACCACACCCACTGACCACACTCACAATGACCACACCCACACTGACCGCACGCCCACGCTGACCACACCCACAATGACCATACACCCACACTGACCACGCCCACACTGACCATGCCCAATGACCACATTGACCACGCCCACACAATGACCATGCCCACTGACCGCACCCATTGACCACACTGACCACATCCACTGACCCCACTGACCACGCCCACCGCCCTTCCCCAGGCCACGCCCCCCCCATCCCGCCGCCATGGCCAGCAACGTGACCAACAAGACGGACCCGCGGTCGCTGAACTCGCGCGTCTTCATCGGCAACCTGAACACGCTGGTGGTGAAGAAGAGCGACGTGGAGGCCATCTTCGCCAAGTACGGCAAGATCGTCGGCTGCTCCGTGCACAAGGGCTTCGCCTTCGTGCAGTACGTCAACGAGCGCAACGCCCGCGCCGCCGTGGCCGGCGAGGACGGCCGCATGATCGCCGGCCAGGTGCTGGGTGCGTGCTCCTGGGCGCTCGCGGTCGGTCTGATGGTCGGGCTGAGGTTCTGGGAGGTGTTTTGGGGTCTGGGGGGCAGTGCAGGGGGAGCCCCACACTTGGATGGACCAAGGATGGTCACAGAGGTGGTCAGCGAGGTGGCCGTGGTCATTGGTGGTCATGCTGGTCACTCATGGTCAGTCTGGGTGAGGTTCTGGGAGGTGTTTTGGGGTCTGGGGGGTGTGGCTGCAGGAGTCCCACAATTGGGTGGGGCAGGGATGGTCAGGGAGGTGGTCAGCGAGGTGGCCATGGTCATTCGTGGTCATTGATGGTCAATCTATTGGTCTGGGTGAGGTTCTGGGAGGTGTTTTGGGGTCTGGGGGACACAGCGGGGGGATCCCCACACTTGGATGGACCAAGGATGGTCACAGAGGTGGTCAGCGAGGTGGCCATGGTCATTGGTGGTCATGCTGGTCACTCATGGTCAGTCTGGGTGAGGTTCTGGGAGGTGTTTTGGGGTCTGGGGGACACAGCAGGAGGGGCCCCATGTTTGGGTGGGGCAGGCATGGCCAGGGAGGTGGTCAGGGTGGTGGCCATGGTCATTGATGGTCAGTCTGTTGGTCTGGGTGAGGTTCTGGGAGGTGTTTTGGGGTCTGGGGGTCGCAGCGGGGGGATCCCCACATTTGGGTGGGGCAGGGATGGTCATGGCCACCCGTGGTCACCCGTGGTCACCCCTGGCCACCGGTGGCCCCCCGTGGCGCGCAGACATCAACCTGGCGGCCGAGCCGAAGGTGAACCGGGGCAAGGCGGGGGTGAAGCGCTCGGCGGCCGAGATGTACGGGTCAGTAGCCGCCCCCCCGTCACCGTCCCCCCTCGTCAGGTGGGGACCCGGGGATCCGCTCCGGGGGTCGGGGTGGCCCGGGGACTCCTGGAGGATTTTGGGGTGTCCCGGGGGGTTTGGGGTGTCCCAGGGACTCCTGGAAATTTTGGGGATCCCTGGGGAAATTTTGGGGTGTCCCAGGGGGTTTTTGGGGTGTCCTGGGGACTCCAGGAAATTAGGGGGAATTTTTGGGGGAATTTTTGGGGATCCCTGGGGGAATTTTGGGGTGTCCCAGGGGGGGTTTGGGATGTCCCGGAGACTCCAGGAAATTTGGGGTGTCCCAGGGGGCGTTTGGGGTGTCCCAGGAACTCCTGGAAATTTTGGGGGAATTTTTGGGGATCCCTGGGGGGATTTGGGCTGTCCCAGGGGGGGGTTGGGGTTGTCCTGCTGGTCCTTGGAAATTTTGGGGGATCCCAGGGGGTTTTTGGGAATTTTGGGAAATTTTTGGGGGATCCTGGGGGGGTTTGGGGTGTCTCTGAGGGGATTTGGGGTGTCCTGGTGACTCCTGGAAATTTGGGGGAATTTTGGGGTGCCCTGGGGGGGTTCTGGAAATTTTGGGGGATTTTTTGGGGAGTTTGGGGTGTCCCAGGGTGGGTTTTGGGTGTCCCGGTGATTCCTGGAAATTTTGGGGGAATTTTCGGGGATCTCTGGGGGCGGTTTTGGGTGTCCCAGTCATTTTTGGAAATTTTCGGGAATTTTTTAGGGATCCCGGGGCGGTTTGGGGTGTCCCGGGGGGTTTTGGGTGTCACAGGGGATTTTTGGGGGGTCCTGGGTGGTTTTTGCAGTTTTAAAAATGTCCTGGTTGTGTTTTTTGGGGATCCTCGGGGGTTTTGGGGGGTTTTGGGGCATCCCAGGGTTTTTTGGGGGGATCCCATGGTGTTTTGGGGGGTTTGGGTGTTTTTGTGTCAATTCCAGGGATTTTGGGGGTTTTTATTGTGTCATCCCAGGGTTTTTGGGGGTTTTGGGTTTTTTGTGTCAATCCCGTGGTTTTTGGGGGGGATCCCGTGGTTTTTTGGGGGGTTTCTGGTTTTTTTGTGTCTGTTTTTTTTTGTGTCAATCCCAGGGTCTTTTGGGGGGATCCCATGGTTTTTTTGGGGGGTTTCTGTTTTTTTGTGTTAATCCTGTGGTTTTTGGGGGGGATCCTGTGGTTTTTTGGGGGGTTTTGTGGTTTTTTCGGGGGTATTGGGGTTTTTGTGTCAATCCCGTGGTTTTTTAGGGGGTTTTGAGGTTTTTTTGTGGGTTTTTGGGATTTTTTGTGTCAATCCCAGGTTTTCTTGGGGGGTTTCCATTTTTTTTGTGTCATCCCGAGGTTTTTTTGGGGGACCCCATGGTTTTTTTGTGGGTTTTTGGGTTTTTTGTGGGTTTTGGGTTTTTTTTGTGTCAATCCCAGGTTCTTTTGGGGGGTTTTTCTGTCAATCCCAGGGTTTTTTTGGGGGGGTTCAATTTTCTTTGTGTCATCCTGAGGTTTTTTGGGGGGACCCCGTGTTTTTTTGTGAGTTTTTGGGTTTTTTGTGGGGTTTGGGGTTTTTTTTTGTGTCAATACCAGGTTTTTTTGTGGGTTTTGGGTTTTTTTGTGTCAATACCAGTTTTTTTTGTGGGTTTTTTTATTTTTCGTGGGTTTTGGGGTTTTTTGGGTTTTGGGTTTTTTGTGGGTTTTGGGGTTTTTTTGTGTCAATACCAGTATTTTTTGTGGGTTTTTTTATTTTTTGTGGGTTTTGGGTTTTTTGGTGGGTTTTGGGTTTTTTTGTGGGTTTTGGGGTTTTTTTTTGTGTCAATCCCAGTTTTTTTGGGGGGGTTTCCGTTTCTTTTCGGCTCTCACCCCCTGCCCCGCCCCCAGGTCGTCGTTCGACCTGGACTACGACTTCCAGCGGGATTACTATGACCGGTACCAGTATAAACCAGTCCAGAGCGGGTTAGGGACCCCCCCCGCCCCTCCCCCCGCCCCTCCCCCCCCCCGGCGCCCGGCGGCGCCCCCAGTGCAGCGCGGGCTGTGCCCTCCCCCCCCGCAGGATGTACAGCTACCCCGCCCGCGTGCCGCCCCCGCCCCCCATCGCTCGCGCCGTGGTGCCCTCCAAGCGCCAGCGCGTCTCCGGCAACACCTCCCGGCGCGGCAAGAGCTTCAACAGCAAGTCCGGCCAGCGCGGCTCCTCCTCCAAGTCCGGCAAACGTACGGGGAAACCGAGGCGCGGGGGCAGCGCGGGGCGGGGGCGTGATGGCGGGTGGGGTGCGGGCCAATATGGCGGCACCCGGTCCAATATGGCTGCCGCCGTGGTTTATTCAATATGGTGGCACCCAGTCCAATATGGCTGCCGCCGTGGTTTATTCAATATGGCGGCACCCTGTCCAATATGGCAGCACCCGGTCCAATATGGCTGCCGCCGTGGTTTATTGAATATGGTGGCACCCAGTCCAATATGGCAGCACCCAGTCCAATATGGCTGCCGCCGTGGTTTATTCAATATAGCAGCACCCAGTTAAATATGGCAGCACCCAGTCCAATATGGCCACACCCAGTCCAATATGGCTGCCGCCATGGTTTATTCAATATGGCGGCACACAGTCCAATATGGCAGCACCCAGTCCAATATGGCCACACCCAGTCCAATATGGCTGCCATCATGATTTATTCAATGTGGTGGCACCCGGGCCAATATGGCGGCACCCGTGATTTATTCAGTATGGTGGCACCCGGTCCAATATGGCTGCCGCCGTGGTTTATTCAATATGGCGGCACCCAGTCCAATATGGCTGCCGTCATGGTTTATTCAATATGGCGGCACCCAGTTCAATATGGCTGCCGCCATGGTTTATTCAATATGGCGGCACCCAGTCCAATATGGCTGCTGCCATGGTTTATTCAATATGGTGGCACCCAGTTCAACATGGCTGCTGCCATGATCTGTTCAATATGAGGGCACCTAGTCCAGTATGGCCGTACCCTGTCCAATATGGCTGCCGCCATGATTTGTTCAATATGGCGGCACCCTGTCCAATATGGCAGCCCCAATTCCCCAATTCAGCATGGCCACCCCCAAAAACAACATGGCTGCCCCCATATCCCAATCTAACATGGCCACCCCTATACCCAACATGGCCACCTCCATATCCCAGTCCAACATGGCTGCCCCCATTCCCCATATCCAACATGGCCACCCCCATATCCCAATCCAACATGGCCACCCCTATACCCAACATGGCCACCTCCATATCCCAGTCCAACATGGCCGCCCCCATTCCCCATATCCAACATGGCCGCCCCCATTCCCCATATCCAACATGGCCGCCCCCATTCCCGACGCGTTTCCGGTTCCGCAGTGAAGGGCGACGACCTGCAGAGCATCAAGAAGGAGCTGGGGCAGATCAAGGCCAAGGTGGACGCGCTGCTGGAGAGCCTCGAGCGCCTGGAGCGTGAGCAGAGTGAGCCTGCGACCCAAAAACGGCCATTTTCACCCCAAATCCCCCAAAACCGCCGCTTTTCACCCCAAATCCAGCCCCGTCCCCACATTCCCCTAAAACCGCCGCTTTTCACCCCAAAACAGGCATGCCCAAATCCTGCCTGACCCAAAAACAGCATCTCCCGCCCCAAACGCAGCCTCGGCCCCAAATCTCCTTTTCTTGCCCCAAACACCCAGATTTTCCCTAAAATCCCGAATTTTCACCCCAAAACCCTGATATTTTCCCAAAATCCCCATTTTTCCACCCCAAATCCCCTTTTTTTCCCCCAAACCTCCGATTTTTTCCCAAAATCCCCATTTTTCACTCCAAACCCCCATTTTTTACCCAAAACGCCCATTTATCCCCCCAAACCCCTGTTTTTCCCCCCAAATCCCCATTTTTCACCCCAAATCCCATTTTTCCCCCCAAACCCCTAATTTCCCCCCCAAAACCCCCGATTTTTTCCCCAACTCCCCATTTTTCACCCCAAACCCCCTTTTCTTGCCCCAAATCCTCGATTTTTTCCCAAAATCCCCATTTTAACCCCCAAGCCTCCATTTTCCCCCAAACCTCCATTTTTTTTCCCAAAATCCCTGTTTTTCCCCCCAAACCCCCATTTTTCCCCCGAAAATCCCCGTTTTTCCCCCAAACACCCATTTTTCACCCCAAAACCCCAAATTTTTCCCAAAATCCTCATTTTTCCCCCCAAACCCCTGTTTTTTCCCCCAAACCCCTATTTTTTTTTTCCCAAAACCCCCATTTTTCCTCCCAAACCCCCTTTTCTTGCCCAAAACCCCCATTTTTTGCCCCAAACCCCCCATTTTCCCCCCAAACCCCTATTTTTTTCCCAAAACCCCCGGGTTTTTTACCCAAATCCCCTGATTTTTTCCCCAAACCCCCATTTTTTTCCCAAAATCTCCGTTTTTTTTCCCAAAATCCCTGTTTTTTTCCCAAAATCCCCATTTTTTCTCCAAACCCCATTTTTTTCCCAAAATCCCCATTTTTCACCCCAAACCCCCTTTTCCCCCCCCAACCCCCTGTTTTTTCCCCCAAAACCCCCAATTTTTTTTCCAAAATCCCCAGGTTTTTTTTCCAAAATCCCCATTTTCCTCCCAAACCCTTTTCTTGCCCAAACCCCCCTATTTTTCCCCCCAACCCCCCATTTTTTTTCCTAAAACCGCCATTTTTACCCCCAAACCCCCGATTTTCACCCCGAACGCCCTATTTTTTGCCCCAAATCCCCGTTTTTCGCCCCAAATTCCCGTTTTTTCCCCGCAGAGGCCAAGAGCGACAAGGCGGAGGAGGAGCAGGGCGGCGGCGGCGGCTCCAAGAAGGACGAGGCGGGCGGGGCCAAGGCCGAGGGCGGCCACGAGGACTCGGCCGAGGAGGGCGACCTGCTGGACGACGACGAGGCCGAGGAGCGGGGCGACGAGCAGGTGGGCGCCCAGTACGGACCAGTACGGACCAGTCACCGACCCCCAGTGACCCCCCAGTACCCTCCCAGTGATCCCCAGTACAGACCAGTTCAGATCTCCCAGTACAGACCAGTTCAGACCAGTCACCGACCCCCCAGTGACCCCCCGGGACCCTCCCAGTGACCCCCAGTACAGACCAGTTCAGATCTCCCAGTACAGACCAGTCACCGACCCCCCGGGACCCTGCAGTGACCCCCCGGGACCCCCAGTACAGACCAGTTCAGATCTCCCAGTACAGACCAGTTCAGATCTCCCAGTACAGACCAGTGACCCCCAGTACAGACCAGTCACCGACCCCCGGGACCCCCCAGTGATCCCCAGTACAGACCAGTTCAGATCTCCCAGTACAGACCAGTTCAGACCAGTCACCGACCCCCCAGTGACCCCCCAGTGATCCCCAGTACAGACCAGTTCAGATCTCCCAGTACAGACCAGTTCAGACCAGTCACCGACCCCCGGGACCCCCCGGGACCCTCCCAGTGACCCCCAGTACAGACCAGTTCAGATCTCCCAGTACGGACCAGTCACCGACCCCCGGGACCCCCCCAGGACCCCCCGGGACCCTCCCAGTGATCCCCAGTACAGACCAGTTCAGATCTCCCAGTATGGACCAGTACGGACCAGTCACCGACCCCCGGGACCCCCAGTGACCCCCCAGTTCAGACCAGTTCAGATCTCCCACTACAGACCAGTTCAGACCGGTCACCGACCCCCCGGGACCCCCCAGTACCCTCCCAGTGATCCCCAGTACAGACCAGTTCAGATCTCCCAGTATGGACCAGTTCAGATCTCCCAGTACAGACCAGTCACCGACCCCCCAGTGACCCCCCGGGACCCTCCCAGTGACCCCCAGTACAGACCAGTTCAGACCAGTGCCCCCAGTGTGCCCCAGTACCCTCCCAGTACAAACCAGTTCCCCAGTGCCCTCCCAGTACAGACCAGTACAAACCAGTGCCCCATTAGTGCCCTCCCAGTACAAACCAGTGCCCTCCCAGT